GAGAGTTTTACGTCTGTTCCAGGCCGGTGGACGCGAAAGTGCAGCTACGGAAATTGTTTTATGTAAATTCGGCCGAGTGCCGTTGCGTTCTTGCTGGAATGAACGCCGATACGCTTCGACGCGAGCCTAGGAATACACAGAGACAACTAACCTATAGGATTATCCCCCGGCAGAGTCGGGGGTGGATCTGGAAATCCCTTGAAATTCGCGGAAACGCGTGATCCCGCCATTTCATTAGAAAGCTACAGAATTTTGTTCTACTATTAGAATAATTTCATATTTTTTGTAATAATAGAATTTCTATGTTCGATATCTAACGAATGAAACGATAATGAATACACGACGGATTTTATACAAATATAAAAAATATACTTTTGATTTAATGAAATTATTAAATACGCCAAACAAACTTTTGTTGGAGTCCGTGGTTTTTTGTTGTAAAATTGTCCATACAATTGGAAATTTAACGTGAATATTTAATGGAGAATAGTATAATATAGTAATATACATAACATTGAGTACAATTTAGTGTAATATAGTGTAACGTAAAATGTATTGTAAATTGAAAGACAACATAAATTCCACCAAAGGAAATATTTTAATTCAGTAATCGTGAAATAAGAAATCTACAGTCCGTCATTTTGATAGGTTTGGTAGTTCTAGTGTTAAATCATACTAAAATTTGGTAACGATATTTAAATAATCCAGCCTCTTTGCAATGCACGTGTCATTCATATTCGTGTGACGTGGCAATCAAATTGTTAATATGATAAATGGAATCCAAATTCCAGAAGCACGATTATTGCACGAAGTGTACAAGAAATTTAATTGCCTCCAGGCGTGTTCCACGCATTAATCGATCCCTGCACGAAAGAAAAACACGCTCGCAGCCGACTAAATATTTGCGAACCGGCTGCTTTTACGGAGCACGGTTATCCCGGTTCGGAAATTATCATTTCAGACTCGGCGATCGTTGTTGAACCGTCAAACAAATTGCCCGGCCCGTCTGAAGGCAGATGGAACTAAACAGTCCCAAGGATCCCAGCAAATAAACCGCAGAGTGCTTGAAAAGTGGAGCTCCTATCTTCTTCGATGAATATTCACGGGGTACGCGCTCACAGACGCGTGTCAACAATATGAAAATAATACTTTTGGATAAAATCGTCTTCGCACAGTGCGTTGTCCGTGTAAAAAAAAAAGAAAAAATATCTTTCTTCTTGGTACTAAATGACAGGCGTGTTTGTCGATAGTTGTTAGAATTGGAAACATTACAATATTTAATAAACAAATGAGGGAGCCTGAATGATTAGACGCGCTAACTCCGAGACCATAGAAATTTCACTTCAAATTCGACTTTCAACACTTTGCTTGCCATGTCACCTAAGTATAGTGACACGTCCATTGCAATGAGACTGGATTATTTAAATATCGTTACAAAATTTTTAGGTGAAATTAAGACGACGATATAATAATTTATATATTCCGTTTATTATTGCAGGTAAGTATTCTTCATTTCGATATTGGATTGTTACCTCCTATCATTTTCTTATAGTTGCATTAGTAATTTTATATGGCCCACTTTTGTTAACTTTGAACAAGCTTTACTGAAATCCTCCTCAAAAATCCATCGCGATGCTGAGTGAAAATTTTCGTAGATATATTCTACAATAGATCACTGAAGAATTAGCTACTTCCAGCTGCTCCCCAGTTTTTAGTAATTATTTTTCTAGGACAACCACGATTTGACGATTTTATTGAAACTTTTTTTTAATCAAACTTGGAGTTTCATTTCAACGATTTTGACGATGAAGATCGTCTAACGAAGACTCGACTGACAGGACAACCAATGACAAAGATTCGGAGTAAATAAATTTAAAAAAAGTCTTTATAATTTCATATAATATTTGATAATTATGTAATATTGTTAATACAGTAACATTTTGGAATACTAAAATTCTATTGATTATTTCTAAAGGAAACTCAAATTGCTTTAACCTATTGAAATTATGTATAAAGGAATCATAAAACCCTGAAATTCGATTTGTGTCTCCCAAAGCTCCTTTAATCGACAGGTGGAAAACGTTCGTTCGTAAGTTGCATCGTGGAGTTTTGCAATATTTACGCGAGGCATCAATTCCACGTTCAGGGGAAAAATGGCGACGCGTAAATCGGCGCTCTGCGTTAATTTCCACGAAACTCCACTCGATAAAAGCACCGAAAGGGGTACGAGGATGAAACGAATGGACAACGAAACTGATCTCCCGGCGCGGTCCCGTTGTTAACGTTGACTACGAATTGAAATCAATGGTCAATCTTTTTTCCATTACTTTCAATTCGATCCGAACGATTCGCAGTTCATTAGGACGGTATAATAATGCTCGGGCGACGGTATAATTATTACCGTTACATTTATCACTATATCACCGAGTTAATGTTGGAGTTATATCGTGTCGTTTCTGGATTCGAATGTAAATTGAATATTTAAGTTTGAATTCTGGAAAAGTTCGGTGTTCGAATTAGTAATATGATATTTATTGGGAAAGGATAGATATTTGAGTTATGTATATATTACATATCTATGTTAGTTAGTATGCTTTCAGAAATACAAGTTATGTGGTTAGATGGCAAAAATGTGATACATCCAATTTTTGTCGAAATTGAGAGACCGAAGAGATTTATTTGACCCTTGAAAGCTACCATGGGTGAAATTTCACTCTATGCGAATTTTATTGTAATACTATTAGAAAACGTAACAACTGGTGACACTAAGGTATTATTCATATTATTAATAGTGATACTATTATTATAAAAAGAATCAGTCCTCTCTTGTATTTTACAATAAACGTAACAAACAAACTTAGTTTGGTGTTCTTTTTATGCTAGCTTCTAAGGGTTAAGTTTATTTGAGAAATAAATAAATTTACTGAGTTGGAATTAACAACCACTTGTTACAGCCTAAAAGTGTTAACAATATTCATTACCGTTCACTAACAGCGACATATTTACTAGAAAAAACAGTAGACCAATTAACTACACGAAAATAGTGCATTTGAAATAACGCCTTTTCCCAGTAAAATTCTGTTCACGATTAAAAAAGACATTACATCTCATACATATAATAAATCATCATTCCCGATTGCACTATTCTAACTCTATCCGGTTGTAAACAAATATTTTCTGCAATTCTATTATCTCTAATTTTAATCACCGGATAGAAAGAATAAACCAAATTCGACACATTTCGCAATCATAGAAGAAACAATAGCGGTATTAACACGTAAAGGACCATTTACTTCTCACGAATCCAACATTGAAAAATCCACCCAACCTTCGTCAATAAATAGCATGAAATGCAACAGTTCATTATTAAATGTGTCTTAAACTGCAAAAAAGAAACTCCGTCGGAAAGAATTCGTTCAACGGACGACGCCTCGAATCGAATCGAACGAGGGTGGGTAGCGGGAGGGATTGAAAAAAATGAGAAATCCGCGAAAGTGTCGTCACTTTCGACGTTGCGGAAACGGCACGGTTAAAGTGAAAATTAACATTTTTCGGATGATTTATTTCGTCGGCGAGTTCTCTATCGGGGAAATGCGCATTCAACCTGGGCAAGAGTAGCTCCCTGGCCAACGGTATTCCCAGAGCTGTCGCCGTCTAGTAATGGATTTCGAATTCACCGTGGACCGTTCTCTACCGGTTTCTCTCTCTCTCTCTCTGTCCATTTTTCACCGGTCGGGTTCGTTAATTCGATAATAAATCCATTAATTACCAGTCTGCCTATTTAACGTTCATCCAGCGCCCAACGCCCCTCCCTTCCCCCACCCCGCCCGGTAATACCCTTAAGGCTGCAGAAACACTAATCTTCCATTAAGTAAACATTTATTCATCCCCCGTTCTCCATTCCCTGTCCACCTCGTTCCCCCTCTTGGCGACCGGAGCTCGACGATTCTCTGTTCGGGGGATCGCTATCGATCTCGACGATAACGACGACGGTGTCGGTAAAAAATTTTCGAACACAATGCAACACGGAATGGCACGGTTTTTTCTGATCAGTTAGAAAATACAACTGATTTTACTTAATACTTTTTGCAAGCAGATAGTGTTTCGTAGTATTTATGGATATGTGTCGTAGATCGTATTAAATAATTAAATCTAGGCTGGTTTTTAATAAGGCAGATATAACATTCGTTTTACTTTGTAGTATTTCTGTAATGATTCTATATAAGTCGACAATTTTTGGATCATTTACGGAATGAAGGTGAATTTGTGTAGGAACTTTGGTAATTTTGTTCTGCGAAAAGACAGTATTTTGTATTTTTTATGTAGATGTTATATAGATCACCTTGAATAATTTAATTTATCTGACTTTTAATGAGGCAAGTGTAAATTCTATTTTACGTTGTAGTTTGTAATATTTCCGTAACGATTCTGTTTATGTCGACAATTTTTGGATCATTTAGAAAATAAAGGTGAATTTCTGCACGAAATTTGGCTATTTTGTTTTGCAAACGAACACCGATGAAGAGCAGTGTTTCAATAAACAAATGGGTACTATTTTGTCTCGGTTCATTTCATACTCTGCCACTCTATCAGGAAATTTATATTTAATCTCCGAGAACTGTTTAAAAAGTTATTAGTTTACTATCCCTTAAACTAATATCAATCTTGCTACACCGTGAAATCGAATCGAGAAAACCTGATCATCTATCATTAGACTCTTTTACAGTATAAACTATCGATGTCCAATTAATTCACGAGTATTTATAAAACAAAATGCACAATTAAAAATCAAACTTCGATTTTAGATGAAACCAAATTAATGAGCTTACATATTCACGTAACACTTTAGCACGTAAAAAAAATCAGAACTTTCGCATTTTTCTTTTTACGGTAATCCCGATATTCAGCGTCCCTTTGTTTCCACTGTAAACCGATACTTCGAGGGTTGGAGTACGACGCTGGAGAGAAAGAGAATAAAAAAGAAACACTCGATAAATTACCTTGTGTTTGTCGACCAACACGGGTCTCAAGTGGCGGTCGAAGAGAAGCTTGTCAGGCTTGATGTTGATGGGACTCTGTCTCCTTCCTTTGCTGCACAGAAACCACTGAGGATTTATCAGACCCCAAAATCCAGGACCTGCAAATGAAAACGAACTCGTTAATGCTTCTCTTGCTCAGTTAGAAAATCAATCTCCATAGTCCATTAAAAACGACTGACCGTAAAAATCGACCACCGTTTATTATTACACCTTAACACTAGGTTTACAGACATTTTTTATATACCTATCTCTACGGACACGAGTCAACGAAATCGTAGATTTTCTTTAAAAAACATCTTGTTTCATGCGATATTGAATTTCCAATCCAGAGTGACACATATCCATAGAGATAGGTATACCAAATAGGGAATTTGAAGATTAGAAGACCTAATGTTAAACTCAACGTTTATCAGTTTACGATTCAAAAATAAATTCTTATTTTAGTAATTTGGGAATAGTATCCATTAACAGACAAATTGGATATAAATGGCCGTTTAAATTAATCAGATCACTATTTCCCGGATACCGGATATCGAGAGCACGCTTGGAAAAGATTCTCACAATGGGTCTTACCAAGGTTTCGGTTTAAGTCTTCGCTGGTCTAGAAATTGTTCAGCCGAGATCTGCCAGTCAATATCTGGATCACCTAGATCTGTACGGATCACTCACCCGGAAAATAACTGACTTTGTACGGAAATCGTCACCTTTCTATACCCGATTCCGTGCTTCCCCTTCTCCCTCGAATTGCTCCCCTTTATGGCTCTCGATACCTGAGTTAACCGCCTGTTCGTCTTGCAATGCTCACAAAGGAAGTACCCCAAATATTCGACTACGATTTTATTTACATGTGAAATATTAAGTGTAGACACTCAATAATTTTAAAGATATAAACAACTATAATTAAGTACCTTTGAGATGTACTATAAATATACAGGGTAAAATAAACTTTCTTACAGGAGATGCTCAAAGTGGTGACCGTTTACGTCAACGCAAAGTTGCAATTTTCGTATGCATTACGTGCATGTTATTTTACCACATTTAACCTTGAATGACCTTCAATGATAGCTCGCTGAAATTGTCACAACACCGGCTATCACATCGCGATAAAAAAAACATAGCATTCAGTTCTTCTCGTTTAATATACGTACTTTTATGTGTGACTGATTAATTCCCGTTTCCCAGTAGCTAGAACCAAGATGACACCTCGGGAAAGATCGAGTGTCCAAAAAATCACCGTCACAATAATCAATATATTCTGAACGAATTCTTCTAGCGGGTGATTGAAAGTTTCCTGAAAAGTGACTGAACATCCCACACAATATTTAATCAAATTTTACAGTCTCCCCAAAAATACGAACCGACCATTTCGTCAGAAAATTTCCAACCTGAATCCACACTGGACTGAGGGAAACTCGCTGAAACCGGGTGAAAATTATGTCGAACGACGATTTCTAATGGTCAGCCCAGGTTCGACGAGAACATTAGTCCGATACAGAATATAAACGCTGAGCAAGGAGAAGAGTCGAAGCCCCGTTCGACCGGCATAAATTCACGGGAAGAAGGGCTCGTTAGCTGGAGGAGCGCTCTTGGTATCGATTCCAGCCGGCCGCGCCGCGAAGAAAGTTAAATTTCTCAGAGGAACGTTGGAGAACGGAAGTGGAGGAGAAAAGGGGGGCGGGGATGGTGAAACGAGTTCGAAACCCCTTTTACCGAATAAAAGTTGACGCAAGCCCAAGGTTCGGTGGCTGGAGACAGGGCAGCGGTGGCGGCCAGCCGGAAAAGTTGAAATTATAGAAATTTCAAATTTCCAAACGGCTGACAGACGACAAGACGATTTCGTCGGGGAAAGGAGCCGGCCCGCCGGGAGCGGCCTCCCTGCCACGCGATGCTCCTCGCGAAGTTCACCCCGAGTTCGTTGGGAAATTGGGCGTACGTGGCCGGGAAAATTGTTTCTTATGATCGGAAAAATGCGCGGGAATTTTTTCGGACGCGTTATAGCGTTGATCGGAAAGTGGTTGACGGAGTAAATGTAGCGATTTAACTATGTTTGAATGGGGATGGAATAGCTTTTTAACCCTTGTGCTGTGACCGAAATAATAATGAATAAGGAAATAATTGTAAAATTTCAGTTTGGGTCAAATTGGTTAATTTGATACTTATATATTGTTTTACCTAGACAAAGTGAGCCAATAGGAACTATTATCTAAGATAAATCTTTACCTTTTGGTTGTATTGAAAAAGGTTTCGAATGAATTATTGTGCATTTGATGGGACTCGTTAGATTCGTGTAATTTGATCTTTTAATATTTTCATATTTTTCTAGATATGAAGGCAACATTGAGATTTTTCGAAGTCAATGAATTTTTTTTTTAATGCTGCGTTGTAGTCGATAAAAGGATGAATTCGAAGATCTATTATTCATGTATTTTTTTGTAACTGTTTACATATACTTTGTGCATGCACGAATTCAAGATCAACTCAAACTTATCTTGTTTATGATTCCTTATTACATCACTTTATTACTTTAACTAACGAGGGTTACGAGATATGGATTTTTTGTGAAACGAGAATTTCAACAAATTCTGATGGAGTTTCTGTTTCGTGTTTAGCTTAATAATTTATTGGGTACTTAAATTAATCCGTGATACAAATCGTTCTTTAATTATGGTTTGTGTAAAGTAGTAATTTGCATAAATGGTACTAATATAACCCATTTATAATCAATTTATACAAATCCATTCGCACGTCTTTACAATCCGAATCCCTAATTAAATAATTATACGATAAACAAATTGATAAATTAACTATATCTGTAATACATATTGATTCGATAAATAGCTGTGTATTTTCTTTGTGCACAGACAGAACGAACACAAAAAATCGACACAGTAATAACAGTTTAATTGTAACTTTAAATTATAATACCTTCTTCCTAAAATTCTACAAAAATTTTCGAATTCAATTAATTTTTTGCGGAATTTACTAAAGATTTATTTTTTGAAAAATGGAAAAGGCATAATTGTTCGATACCAGTTTTACCAAGCAAAAGGATAATAAGACGTACTGAATTTAAATTCTTCCATCATCTTTTTAGAAGAAATATGATTGAAGAATAGAAATGAAAAATTAAAGACGGTTCCATTCGTTGATACAAAATATAGAATTTTCTTCAATCGTTTGTTTCGCGGTATCCACCCACATGAATATTACGAATTGTTTCGGGTCAAATGAAGGAGGGGGATGCATTATGGAATACTTCGGCAGAAAACCACAGCGTATATGGATCGTTCTACAAGAGTCCCTTTGTGTACAACGTCGCGTGCCGTCACGGTGGCAAATTTCCGTGCTGACGTGCCTGGCGCGTCGGTTATACGAGTTGTTTATACGAGCAATAATTTATTACTTACCCCTGCGACGCGAGGGATCGTTAATATCATAGACGTCAGATGGGGAAGATGGAGAACGCGACGGAATTGTATCGTGCTTAAGCGAAAGGACGCTTCAGGCTCATCGGAAAGTATTCGAATAATTCTCTGCGGAATGCGTCATCCTAAATTCATCAAGGTATAGGAGCCGGAATTATTTCTTCCGGCGAGAATATCTATATAAATGTATTCATTCGTGAATTGAATTTTACACGATCGTTATTTCTGGAATGACAACTGAGTCATTTATCACCAATAGTGAGAAAAATATTCGGTTCAGTTGTAAATATCTCTCATTATTGACGTCGAAACATTAATGAATAATAATTCTATAACAATAACAATAGAAATATTTAAATTGTTTTATTTAAGTTTTTACTATTTGTTTACAAATTTTCCGTGTAGTGAATTTACCTCAGGAAAAAACGAGTGAAACCAGCAGCCAACAAACAAATCCAACACTCGTAACTCCAAAAAAAAAAAAGAACAACCGAAAACCTCACGCTCAAAAAGCGGAATCGCGAATTACCCAATAAAATCGATCCCGCGAAACCGTTAATAACCCCACGAACCAGGAGCTTCATTAATTTTCCTCTTCCCTCGTTGTTAACAGCCACTATCTGCCCGGTAATACACAGCGCCCCGTTCAACAGATCGTTCGTTATCTTCATGAAAATTTACGAGGCTGCAAGGTGGAACTGCTCCAAAAAAAAAAAAAAAAAAAAAAAAAAAAACCAGAGAGAATATTCTCCACATTGGTGGCAAAATAGCGAAGGTGTTTCCTCCAGTTTCGAAGGGGAACGAGACGAGAAAACCGTTTGCACAAAGGAAGCGTTGTAACGAAGGGAGGAGTGTCGGGGTGCTCGAGGGGTGGGAATCGCGGGATGAATGAGGTTAATTGCATCGATACCGCGACAATAAAGGCTCCCCTCTACAGAAACACGCGGGAAGAATGCGGACGTTTGTGGGTGTGTGTATGCACGGAGCGGCATTGACCCCGTACGCACGCTTGCTTATCGGGGCTTGTAATTTTTAATTGCACTCGCGTGCACGGCTATCGTTACGACCCTACTCGACACCTACCACCCCCACCACGGACTCGTTGACACGTGAAAGAGAGTCGTTCGTCGATGGCGACACGTTGTCAAACAATATTCCTTTGACGTGGCGAAATATCGAACTGTGTTAAGTGGATCTCGAGGGTTTTATTGGGCTGGTGGTGGCGGCTCGTGAAAGTGGTTAATAAAGGAATCGGGGATATTAAAGGCGAAGAGGGCGAATAAGACGAGTGACGGAGATGGGCGAAATTTTTATTGGAATAAAAATTGCGAATGAGGGATAGAAGGAAACTTTGGAACTTATTAATTTTTATTCAAATAGAACAATCAATAAATCAATTTTTCTTAATTTTAGGGATCCTCTTCGATGACCTCTTCATCATTTACTAACAGCGTTCTCAACGTCTTCATGAAAATCTGAATTTTTTAGGAGTTTTTTTCTATTTTCTACCGAGATCGATGGTACGAAAGGGTCTGAGGAGCGGAATAATGCATGGAACAGTTTTTCCATGAAGTTGATGCGAGTTTTTGGACAATCAAAAAAAATTTTTGGACGTATAATATTAAATGATTCTGGAGTGCGGATTTTTGGAGGAATTTAAATTCTTATGAAGT